TTCAAAAAGATTGAAGGTTTGATGAAACCTTATGATGCTTGCCTTTCTTTTTCTACTCTACTTTTGAAGGTTTGTTTTGACAATTTAAATTCAAACAATAATATTGAGGTCATTTTAAAAAAAGTGAAATGAGCAATTTAGGAAAAAGATATTTAATATGGTGAGTTCTCATATCAGGTTTATTATTTTAAAATTGCTAGTGTACTTAATATTGTGCAACTACATTAGAGAGAGAGCTGATAATTTTTGCCTGAGAATCTATCTGGGCAGAGACACAGGCAGAGGAGCATTTAAACACGGGCAAAGCAAAATGTACTCTTCAAACACATTAGAGGTGAACACTGTTATTTTTGACCTTCTGTAGTGCAGAATCACCATCAAAGCTGTTGTCTAGTATTTATCAAATGGTCAAGGTGAGGTGCTGAGGATCAACCCAGTGCCTCACGCATGCAAGGCAAGAGCTTTACCACTAAGCTATAACCCCAGCCCCCAATTGTGCTTTTGAAAAGGCATATCTAGCTTCATGCTACCACCTTGGTTATACTGTTCTGGCCCTTGCTGGCTGACAAACAAAGAAAAGTGGAGGTTTACTTACCCTCACCCTAATACTATTATATTCTATGGTAGTTTCATTAGAAAATGAAATAAAGCTATGTTCACCTCTGATTCCATTTAAAAAGTAAAAACTGAGCACCAGTGGTGACCCCAGATCAGCCTGGGAAAGACTCCGAGGAGTTCTACAATTGTGAGCCGAGTGCACATTCCTCTCTTTGGAAGGTGTCTCCTTCCTTTTTGGTGTGTTAAGGGGAAAAAAAACCAAATCAATTTTCTAAGAATACATTTTTGTTGAAGCTGGTGATTCAGAGTTTGAGATATTTTTAGTAGTTTATAACACAATCTTTCACTAATATATATCAGACTGTATTTTCTTATAAAGCTAAAATGTTTTAATATAGTTGGCTAAGAAAGGATTACTGAAGGAAAAAATCAACCTAAAAGTATATTAAACCAAATTTTAATATGATCTTTGCTTGCTGCAACATATATATTCATATATTTAAACCAATATCACCTACGGTACAATTCTAAAAACTCTGTGTACCCTAGGTACATCTATGTATAATTACAAGAAAGTAATTATACTACTGCTACATATGCTTAGAAGTTTTGGAATAAGCAGATAAGTAAATGACATTATTTCCAATAGTTATAGTTTTACAATAACAAGTAAGCTTTAAATAAATTCTTCAACTCCTAACTAGAAGGAACTCTTAAAATTTTGAATATTTCTTCTTTTTACTAACTAAGTGGATCCTTAATTGACCTCAAGGAGCCCTTCCATAAGATTACTGTAAATGTGAGGAGGTTTTGATATATATTTGAGTAGTGATTGAAAAGTTCAATAAAGCAATGTTCTTTAAATGGGATTGTAGTAAACAGACAGTTTACAGGCTTGAGCATGCTTTTAGATTAACAGGCAGTTAGTTACAGCAAGCACCTCAAGACACACTTAAGTGATCCATTTCATAAGCACCTCCCGCTGTCTTTTCTAGGATTTGGAATCCTCTGTTATGGATGGAGAGTTTGTTGGTGTTCTTCTAATGCTTTTTAGGGATTATTGCTCCTTTACTGTTGGCTGTTTTGAATTTCAAGACAGGATTAAAGGGAGTTATGAGAATTCAGGTCTTTAATTTCCACGTACTCTATTTCTCAGTGTTGTATTAATGAGTAATTGCTAGTAAATAAAAAACTGTATGAATTTTGAAGTGACTTATGATGATCTGGATTAGATCCTGACTGTATTTTTTTAGCAATGATGGCTGAGGCTGGCCTGGGACTTGTGATCCTTCTGCCTCAGCCTCCGCAGTTGCTGGGATTATAGGCCTGTACCACCATGCCTAGCAAGAGGTGCTTTTTTCTGTTCTTTCATTTTTTTTAAGCCTATCTGTAGCATCTGGCATAAAACTTACCACAGAGTAGAACTCTGAAAAACAATTGAAGGTATGAGCAAAAACATATTTTAAATTTGTAATTAAGATTAGAAAAAGGGGGGCATAACTTTATTTCAGTTACATATATCTATTAAATATATAGAAAATAGTGCCATGCTTTGAACATGTTCTTAATATTGAGAACAAAAGAATTTCCTTTTTAAGTAGAAATGGATAGTGTGCTGAATGTGAAAGTCACTTCCGAGTGTGCTGAATATGAGGCAGAATAACTTCTCAGGTTGCCCTTGGATAGTACTTTTGCTAGATTTTTGAAGGGCATTGCCTTGATTTTAGAATTTTTGGGTCATGGGAATTGTGACTACAAATCTGAAGTGTTGATATAAAAAGATAAAGGGACTTTGATTTCTGAATTAAGTATGTTGGGAAAATATACTCTAAACAGAATAATAAAATAAAAATTTACTCATCCAAAAATAAAAAAGAAGCAGGGGTGTTTTATATGCTTATCAAGTATGAACATATAACCAGCCTTGGCTAATCAGTTGTGCCTCCCTATCAGTAGTGGTTAGTTTGGGAATAGATATGTCAGCCAAACTCAGTAATCACAGCAAATTCAGTACTGCAGCTTTAAGAGTTGGAAGGAGTTGTGCCCTTTGCACAGGGTCTGCTGAACCACAAGCTTGGAGCTGCTGGCTACCATTTTGCTGTTTTGCCCCCTGAAGGGAAGAACCTGCCTGAGAACTGAGCCAGAGGAGAGAAATGCACAACTGAAAGACAGGAGTGGTCAGCTGGGTTACATTAGGGAGCCTCTGGATCCAGCTTTTTTTTTTTACTGTATTTTTTTAGCAAAGCCCAAAGTGAGCCTGTCCTCTGAGTATGACCCCAAAAAACCCCTTTTTGCTTTTAAGTTAGTTTAAGGTTGGTTTTACTGTCACAGGTGATGAGAAAGTTTTCTTGAGTACCTGAATCATGAATTCAAAAGGCCTTTCTGGGAAGGCTTGGCTTTTCCTACTTGTGCTCCTGCAGGGCTTTCTCTGGAGTGTGAGCCTCCCTCCCATTTTATGTTCCTCATTCATAGAAAAATCAAGACCAACTGAGCTTTTGCCTAACTGCTTCTTTGGTCAGTTTGTTCTAGCAGAGTCCTGCTAGGCATCTCATACAAAACCTCTTCACAGACCCTGGCCTTCACCTGGGCTCTTCCCTGTCATCCTGGTAAATAGGCCTATCTCATAGATAATGTATTTTTGCTGCAGTCTTAATGTATCTTCTGGTTCTGTCTCAACTGTTTTATTTTCTGTCCCAGATTTCCAGGTTACTTTAACATGAAAAAGCTTAGGTTTATTCAATCTTTCTATGCCTCAGTTTGAAATCAACAAATAAAAGACCTGAATAGCTGATAATAATAATGCTCTATGGTTATATTAGATTGTTTTATGTTTATAATATCGTTTAATCATCCCTGTAATTATTAAGAAATTGTAAATCTGTAATGTTGTGTTTCTGTGTTTACAAACAGGAGAAACATATATTTAAATATTTTATTTGCTATTATTTGGGGAAGTGGTTATTTGGGATTGAATCCAAGGGCACTTTGTCACTGAGCTACATCCCGGCTTTTTTTTTTTTTTTTTTTTTTTTCAGTTTTGAGACAGGATCTCACTTAATTGCTTAGGGCCTCACCAGGTCGCTGAGGTTGGCCTTGAACTTGTGATTCTCCTGTCTCAGCCTCCTGAGTTGCTGGGATTACAGGCATGTCCCCAATGCCCCCTATTTTAATATTTTCTAAAGAACATGGATATTTAGTTAGGCATTGGAAATTATAATGATTAGTATAAATACGTAGACCAAAATAAAAATCTTGAGATCCCTCAAAGTCATTTTAAACATTATATAAAATCAACTTAATGGACATTAGAAATGGAACATAGGGTGTCTAAATAGAATCATCGCAATGACTCCCTGATTTTATCAATGGTGTTGGTCTCACTTCTTTTACAAGTTAGATCTTTAAATATTTTTGCATTCAGCAGTTGTGGGAGTAGGGGGAAGGATAAAGCATACTTAATTATTTAAAAACAAACTCAGAGAAAAAACATCTCTTATTAATTTTCAAAATTGAGAAGGTTGCCAGATGTCCATGAAGCTCTGCCACTGCAGAAGGAATTACACAGGTTGCCAAGTGTCAGCAACAGGAAATTGCTACTCACAGACTGAGCAATAAGCTGGGCTAAGGATAAGCAACCTGGCCTGGAAGGACCCTGGATGAAAAGGTTCAGTCTTAAAAGGCCATCTAAAAGCAGAAGCAAGTCTAGCCTGGCATGGGCAACCTTCTCTGAGGTGTACTTGGAAGACACCTGGTTCTTAAATCATTTTCCTCATTTGCTATCACTCCTGAAATTCCACTCTGTCACCCTTTGCTTTGGACTCTCAAGCAGACCCCTTTGGAACAGCATCATTATTTTTGAAGATTAGACATTTGGCTAAGAATGACACTTTATAGGGGTAGGACAGAAGCTAGATATCCTGTAAGTAGGGAAACAAGAAGCAGAACCCTGAGCGAGGAAAGGTGGTTACTTTGGCAACTAGACATGAATCTGCTCCACAATCTGCTTAGATTGACTTCAGGGAACAGCCAAAGTTTTGCCATTAACATTTTCCCTTTTTACAGTTTTTTTTTTGAGTGAAGGGGCAGGGGGTTATTACTTTCTAAATTTTCTATGCCTACTTTAAGCTACTTAGAAACTGGCATCTGCTGTTAGCAAATATATATAAACTCCCTTCCCCCATTCACACATTTTTCCAAAATCAGATTTAATAAACTTATTCTAGAGCTGTGCATGAATTACTTCAGGCCTCAACCTGTTTATTTAAGGCTCATGGTACATAAGGATAGAGACTGACTTGTCTATTGAGCATGGTTAGAAAAGAATCCCCCCCTCGCCCCGCCACCAATGTCAAAAGATCAGTGATCACATTATTTTTTAAATACTGAAGATTTAAACACACACACACACACACACACACACACACACACACACACACACTTACCCCATTTGGATTGTTGACCCTAGAAATGAGGGTATGCAGTAATCAGCTGCTGCCAGTGTGTATGGTGGTCGAGCAGCAGAATCGTCCCAGTAAATGTCCTTCTTCATCTTGGGTAAGCTCATATGCATTTCATCCACAGCTAAAAGAGAGACCTAAAATCATCGTCATATTGTTAGGCTAAATCAGATGTGAATTATATAAAAAAAGAGAAGAATTTTCAGTAGGGGGACTGGAGTTTGAGAGCAACAGGACATAGTCCAAATGAATGGATGCACAGATGCCTACAGCATATATTTGCTGCAACCTGGGCTGCTGCAGAGTTGCACCTGTTGTTCACTACTGGAGAACACTGGTCAGTGGTATAAGTGAGACTGTCAAGCTGCCCACCCTCTGTCCTTATGCCCCAGGATGGAGCTGCATCTCATCTGGAGGGAGGCAAAGCACCTTTTCCTTTTTTGTTCACAGTTCTGGTATTATCTTAGTGCCTGCCCTGTCAGCAACCACCTAACTCCAGGTAGTGCAGCAAGGTGGAGAGCCTCAGTATTCATTCTGCTAACCCCATAAACACCTTTTTACTTGACATCACTTCTTACAATCCCTGGTTTCTTGTTTATTTAGAAAAGCACACCAGCAAGCCTATGCTGTTTGAAGCTATAATCATCTTTCCCCTTGGCTTTGACTGAGTGATACATAAATAAATTACTCTCTCAGAACCAATTTTTGACAGAGTGATTCAGGCATTGCACTTCTTACCCTAATAGACTGACAATGTAATCTCTGTGAAACGTTTGAACCTGTTTAAAAGCCAAGTTAGGCTTGAAACAAATGGACAAAGTGAAGGAGAGTTTTAGTCTGAGGAGAGTTTTGCCTAACATTCTCCTCATGCTGGTTCTTCATGGAAAACTCACTGAGAAGAGGGTCCATTTTATGCATGTCAGGCAGATTTGAGACACAGGCCTGTGTGGCCCAGGCTCCCAGTGTCCAGCTGCTGGACAACTGACTGTTGAGGTCTGTGAGCTGTGAGTTTGGAAAGTCACATCAGATTGTATCTGGATGCTATTTTATGTCACTGTTAATATCTTTGGGTGCCAATTAAAACAGATAAAAAAATGAATTAAAATACTGCTTTGTTCTAGATGGAAGAGGCTGGTTAAAACTGATAGAGAAACTTATAGAGAAAATTGATTTGAAATTCTACCTAAATTTCACTGGAACTGAGATCCAGGACCTGTGAGGCTCCAAAAGGATAATATACTGTATAGTCAAACTTTTTAATTTGTGACTAATGCTCTGAAGTCCAGGGGCCTGCATCCAGAATCTGTTTAAATGAGAAACATCACAGGTGATTTATTGTTAAGGTTTATAAAGGAAAGAAAAATTCTTCTAACCTGCAAATTTCTATCAATGCACCAGTTAGTTTCAAAATCATCATCATCTTCTCCAAAAGGGTTGATAAGCTGCTCAGCCACCTGCAGTTGGAAACACAGAACAAATCTATCATGATACTTGTGAAGACTAAGAACAGAGATTGAAGTTGATTCCTATTTTATTCTCTCCTTCTTTTGTCACTTTCATAATATGAAGCCTAGAGGGGAGTGGATTGTTTTCCAGACAGATACTTATTAGAATATGAGACTTGATTCTCTAGTCATAAATGATGCTCCTTTGTGGGCATGATCTCCAAGTGGATCTGTCTATTCAACTGGTGACAGTGTAGGCCCTATCACAGAGAAGCTTTGTGCTGTTTGGGCGCTCACTCAAACCAGTGCATATTGAAGAGTCATCAACATGTGAGTGGCATATAGCTTGTGCTTTCAAGGAATTTATAAGGGCTAGGATGATAAGACAAAGTTAAACAGCAGAGGAAGACTTAAGTCATAGTTAAAGAAAGTGCAAGGTGGTTTCACAGTTATTAGACATAACCGCTAAGTGAAAGAGCAGGCTAGTCAGTCATCAAGTTGGAATTTGAGGCTTACTTAGCTTTACCCTAGATTGGCTCTTGTCTATCTAGTAAGCTAGATTTCCTGTTGAAAAAACTTTAGGTGGTTTCTTATCACATTTAAAAATATTTGACAGATATTAAATATTCTTATCATATTCCTGAACTGAATAGCTTTTTTTTTTTTTTTTAAGATGGGGTCTTGCTATGTTGCCTAGGCTAGTCTGAAAACTCCTGTGCTCAAGGGATCCTCCCATCTCAGCTTCCTGAGTGCTGGGACTACAGATGTGTGTTACCTTGCCTAGCTTCTATAGCCTCTTGATGAGAGGTTTTAAATGTCTAAAATGACTTGCTTGTCATTCACTTTTTTGAATAATTTACTTTGATTTGTGTGTGTGTGTGTGTGTATGTGTGTGTGTGAGAGAGAGAGAGAGAGAGAGAGAGAGAGAGGTGGGGAGAGAGAGAGAGTGTGTGTGTTTTTACATTGAATCCTCTACATAGGAAAAACTTACAAGTATATAAAACATATTGTTTGACTAGTTATATACTTGTAATATCACCATATACTTAGAAGTATATAAAATTTTATTTACCTATTCCTTATTATATACTTAAAATATTACATACTTATACTTATTATGTACTTATAAACATATAAAATATATCATTTGATTAGTATCTAGATTTTTAAATTCTGAGACCATTGGTAGGAGCTTTACTTACTTAAGTTTTTAGTATTTAAGTCAAATCATTTACAGCAGTTATTTTCAACCTTAGCTATGCACTAAAATCACCTGGGGAGCTCTTAAAAAATAAACAATAATGCCTGAGTCCCTCCTCTCAATATTCTGACTTAACCAGTTTGATGCTGGGCCCAGGAATTGGTACTATGTAAAGCTCCTAGGAGATTTTAAAGCATAGGCAGGTTGAGATCCACTTATATAAAGAAGTGTATCTCCCTTGTTCTAAGGGACAGTCCTGGGCAGGGCAGTGTCCTGTGTCAGTAAGTCTCTTAATGACAGCTGTGGTCAGAGTCCTTCATTGTGAGTTGTGAGGGTTGCCTGGGTTTTTTCTCAAATTAAATGAGTCACTGCTTATTCTTGAAAATATTTTTGTTATATATAAAATTTCAGTTTTATGGTGTTAGTCCTGTGTATATTATTATAATCTACAGTTATTAAAATGATACCTATGTTTGTGAATTTACAATCTCACAAAAATATTAGAGGCTCCATTTTCAGCAAGTAACTGAGTAATATACTGTCTAGAAGGTCCAGATGGTTTTCTACATTTTGGAAAGATTTATAAATATCTGAATTGTCAGGCTAGAACAGCTCTTTAGAAACTGAAATGTAACTCACTGGATTGGGAAAACTCACTCTGTTAAGTTTGCCTGTCTCTTAGCAGAGCTATGAATATACCTTTTCATATTTTTAAAAAATATTTTTAGGCAAAGGATGTTAATATTTTAGAAAGTGCATCAGAAGAAAGGAACCATTAATTGCTTTATGGGCCAGCTGAACACCTTACATGGACATAAAGCAAATGTCTTCTTTGATATAAGGAGAGCAACTAAGAACAAAGTAGGGAGGAAGAGCATGAGAAGAAGATTACCATTAAACAGGGACAAGAGGTGGGAGGGAAAGGGAGAGAGAAGGGAAATTGCATGGAAATAGAAGGAGACCCTCATCGTTAGACAAAATTACATATAAGAGGAAATGAGGGAAAAGGGGAAAAAAAGGGAGAGAAATGAATTACAGTAGATGGGGTAGAGAGAGAAGATGGGAGGGGAGGGAAGGGGAGTGGGGATAGTAGAGGATAGGAAAGGCAGCAGAATACAACATACACTAGTATGGCAGTATGTAAAAACGTGGATGTATAACCGATGTGATTCTGCAATCTGTACACGGGGTAAAAATGGGAGTTCATAACCCACTTGAATCAAATGTATGAAATATGATATGTCAAGAGCTATGTAATGGTGTGAAATATGATATATCAAGAACTATGTAATGTTTTGAACAACCAACAATAAAAAATTAAAAAAAAAAGAGCTATGTAATGTTTTGAACAACTAATAAAAAAATAAAAAAAAAAGAAGCTCAGCAAAACTCAGGGAAAGAACAACAACAACAACAAACAAAAAACACAAGAATGATTTACCTTTGGGCCACCTGTGTGAATTTTATGTTGATAAAGACAAAGTCTACTTTTTTCTTTAATGGGAAATGAGAGCCATTAACTCTCCTTCTCTTTCTTACTCGTGAGTAAAAATAATTAACAATCACTGTCATTTGGTTAAAAATATTTTTGCCATTTGTAAAGGACAGCCTTTAGTCCTTGGAGTATAATTTGAAATGCCAACATATTTATTTTTCCTGGGTAAAAGTCAAACTGATGAAAGAAAAGACTTCTGCAGGGAAAAATCTGCTACAATCTGAAGGCATGACAATGTGGCTATTTGGAAGGCCAGACATTTGAAAATTCTATTTCATGAGACATCTTTAAACTGTTGTTAGATTTCAGTTGACTTAATGATGCCATTATCTTTGACTTTCTTCCTATCACATACTTCCCATTTGGACATTCACCAAAGTGATGGAAGAATCAGGCCTCTGGTCCTTACACACATGTACCTGGGGAGGGTTGAGAGGAGCAGGGATAGTGGTGGAGGTGGTGAAACCAATAAAATTCTTCACTGATAATCAGACAAGCTGTTTTTACTGCTCTAACCTGTTTTTAAACTCCTGCAAACTCAATGTCATCATTAATCCTGGTGTTTCTGATTTTGATTCTGATGAGTTCTGAGTCTAAGTTCTGGTTTTGAAAATTGGATGCACTTAATGGTGTGGAACAGCTAGTAGGATTTCAAGCAATAATTTACAGAGTTGAGCAGAACTAAAATACTACTACACAATTAATGCTTAAATCTGATTGATATCCAAAGCTGCTTCTTTGCCCTTGCTTACTCTTCCTAGTTGCTTATTGTGGTATAAAAATGCAGGCACAGTTATTACTTTAATTACATTATTGTAATCCTAATGGGAACAAATAGACACTTAAAAAATCAATAGCTATGAAAAAAGTGTTCTTCTAATCTCTTTACATAACAAACTGTTTCAGACTGCTGCAACACAGTTGAACTACATCTCTGTCATTTTAATCCTTGATGGAAAAGTGATCTCATATTTGAGCTGTTACATGTTAAATCTGCCTTTGATTCACTGATTAATAATTTTCTAAAGACTCATTATAGGAGCAGTGTGGAGTTTGGAACGTGATAGATTAAGAGTGGATCTTAGGGCACCAAAACTGATGGCTACCTTGAGCCATCCTGCATAGAAGAAGAATTGTAGGAGAGTAAAGATTGGAATGTAAAGATCTAAGTCATGCCCCGCGTAGCCTTTGGTGGGATCCAAAAACTGGCGTCCAATCAGGCATGCAAAGAAGAAGGTGTAGACAGCAAGAGTGACAACCTGGAATAGAGAGAAACTGGAGTGAGAGGACAGTGCTAGCTGCCCACAGGGAGCTAGAGTGCCAAGGTGGGCAAATAGAAAATATCACATGCAAAGTGTTTGATACCTGGGTGTAAACCAGTGGAATCCCAACCCAGTCATAACCGAATAAGAGGCTGCACCAAGAGCGGTATCGATTCATTTCCTAAGCCAGAAACAAAACATGATTTAATATGATGATGAGTATGGTAATAAACATCAACTGGGATTCATAACATGGGCACGTCTTTTCCAAATGGGTTTGTAAAGTGATGGGATTGCCTTTGTGGCTCATAAGTTGGCTACCAAGACTACTACAAAAAGAAAGTTCTGAAAATGACAAGCAACGAGAATCACTGAACAATGTGCAAAAAGGGTGAGAACATCTGGACATACATATTCTTTAAAATATTAAAATAAGACAGGACTTTATAGAAATATCCCTTATTCTATAGGATCCATAATTTCCAACCCATATATTAGGTGAAAGTGGTGATAAGAAAGCCATGGTTGATATTTAAATTGTAATTTCTAGTTAGCAAATTTCGAGGGTATTTTTTCCCCTTCTTATTTAAAAACATGCTTAATATAGATCTTAGAAAAGAGATGCAAATATATCCTAAATCTTCCCCTTGCTACAAATGGAGACTTTTGAATGCTCATATAAAAATCCATCTTTGTGTGGCATAGGAATTGGCATAGAAAGGACTGTGTTTCATTGATTCCTTTCCTCTATTGAACATACATTATTATCTAAGACTGGGATGAAGAGTTCACCTTAATTTGAGAGCTGTTTTTAAGCTATGGACTCCTTTCAGCCTAATCCAAGCAGGAGACAGTTGTGGCACAAATGTATCCAGTTCTTATGTAAATTTGTTCTCAGATGAACTCAGGGCTCTTTTGTGTAGTGAAAATACTGCTTTTTCATGTGAATAATTGGAACACCTGAAAAGCTAACTTAAGCTTGGGATAGTCCAGTTTTGGGGAAATGGCTTAGGAGGTTTACTTTTCCTCCAGATTTTATCCTAGGGGTGGCAAATATGCTGTGTGGGCACCAAATCTTTCAGGTCTCTTGGCAGCCCTTGGTTAACGAATCAAGGAACACTTTTGGGATGGGAGTGTGGTTCAGTGATAAAGCATTTGCCTACATGTATGAGACCCTGGGTTTGATTACCAACACTTGGGGGTGGGTGGGGGAGCACTTTTTACAGAACCTATTACAAAGGATTCTGTTGAAACACAGCTTCCAAACAGCCACTAAAAGAATCTGAATTCAACATGTATACTATCTCTGTCCTGTACACTGTAGCTTCTGATACTACCCCAGTGTTTCTAATTTCATGGAACCAGGATTAAACAAAGCAGATTCTTTCTGGTATGACTTGTTATATCTAGGTTCTTTAGGGGATCTAAATGGCATTTTTTTAACTTATGGGTTTATGATGTACTTACAGTCATCAATGATTGAAGATCAACACTGTCTCTGATTCTACCTTCATCTCGGGCTTTAGTTGCAAGATTACCAAACCAGATGAATGGAACCCAGTATTTCAGATGAGGAGATTTGAGGTGGTCAAATATTTTCCTTTCATCTGCTGTCATAAAACCTTTATGCAAAATAACAATAGTGAGATTATACAAACTTAGCACTTATGCATCAACATATTCTGATATTCAGCAATGTTTGAAAATCACTGTCCTAATAAATGAAGTTTCTGTTTATTCAGTATTTGGAATAAACAGAGTTATAATTACAAAGACAATATTTACCAACAGAAGACAAGTTTAATATTACACTCAAGTTATTCAGATTACCTTAGGAACATTCTGCCAATGCCTGGAAATTAGTACTCTCTCTGGAGGTAAAAAATGAAAATAAGCTTGGAAATTCTTTTCTTTCTTAGTGCAGCTCAAAGTTGTTACATGATCCAGATAATCTACTTTTTTTTTTTAAGACTTGCAGAGCATGATTAAATGTTATTACAAGAGGTTAACAGCTAAATTTGACTGTCTTGGCTTAATGCTTTCTTTCTTTCTTTTTTTTTTTTTGTGGTGCTGGGTTTTGAACCCAGGGCCTCATAAATACTAGGAAGTCACTCTACCAATAAGCTACACCCCAATTTTTTAAAAAAATTTCATTTTGAGAGGCAGGATCTTGCTAAGTTGTTCAGGCAGGTCTTGAACTTGTGATCCCCCTGCCTCAGCCTCCTGAGTAGCTGGGGTTAATAGGCATGCATACCACACCTGGCCTGGCTTTATGTTGAAAGACTTGCTGCAGCAATTCTTCCTTTAACTGGAAGCCTATTCTCAGATATTCTATATCAATTTTCTAACAGATATATTCTTAGGATTTATAGTTTAATTTTCAAAAATGACCCTGCTTGTATGTTGGTTGCAATCTCTGTAATTTGACCAAAGAATTACTTTGTCTCTGGCTATTTTTTATTCAGGAGTATGGATCAAATTGTGCAAGCAAGCCCTTTCTTGGCTTCTAAGCATTAGGCAAATATGCAGAGTGAGGGTTTATTTAGTGCAAACAATAAGGCAAGAGTTAGGCCCTTCTCTCAATGTAGGACATCGGTTGATTGGAAGGGGTCATGTAGAGAGAAGAAAGCTAATGGTTTTGTATTTGGCCTAAATTCTTGATTACTAAGAAAAATAGATTGTGAATCAGATGTTAATGTATCGCTCAAGAGTATGCAGGAAGAATTTGGTCATTCCCTGAAGGGTCAAACATCTTATCTAAAGTAATTCCATCTTTGGAAATCAAATTGTTGGTCAATTGAAAAAAGTCTCTAGATTGTCAAATCAATTCAAAGAACATTTGTTATGAAATGTAATGATATTTTCATCAGCACTTGAAGTCAATTAAACCAGAGACCAATGCTTTTTTTCCCCCCAGAACAGAGCCATTATCCAAGGCTGTTTAATTGCAGTTATCGATGTGCTACAGTTTGGCAGCATGATCAGTTGGCTGGTCTCCCACCACCCTGTCTCCTTCACATGTCTGTCTCCATGCCATGCTTCCTCAGGCCCTATCCACAGCCCTGGCTGGCATCGCTATTTTATCCTGCTACTGCACATGCCTAGATTTCTCTTGGTAGCTCTTTTCTTTCTGACTAGCTCAGCTCTGCTCAGTGATTTTCATGTTGCCTATCCCCCCAAAATATTTCTAACCAGAGTAAAATATTTATATCTGTCAATGTAGGTGTATGTTTGCATTGACTTGCAACTTGTAGTTTTATGGAGCAGGATCTGCTTGCTACTTTAAGGCAAATTTTATTGCCCTCAAGGCAGAAGACTAATTAAATACATTGACAAACAACATTCCAGTCATCATAGATTTTGTCTGCTGTACACTTGGCCTATTTTTCCTTGGTTGAAGCTGAGACAGATATCTTTTGCTTTTACAGCAGAGGCTCTGTTAGCAGAAGAACTAAAAGCTCTGCACCTCAAGACTTGAAGGCAGAATGGGTTCTTTTTGAAAAAGAAAGCTGTGCATTCAGCATCTGAGCCCTTCTCAGAGGGATGACTTGTTCAGGAAGATTTCAACGTGCCTGGCTCGTTTTCATCTCTGTTTTCCGAATGTATGCAACAAAGCCACCACTTCAATTATAGATCTCCTTTAAATATAATGGGAGAACTTTTGAAATGCCTGTTGACTGGGAAAATCAAAGAGAGGCAAAATAAGATTGAGATGGATGGAATCACATTACGACAGCATCCTGCAGGGCAGTGTATCAAAAGTTTTCCACCATAACCCACAATTATGTGTTCTTCCATTCCAATCCATTCCATTCCATTCATTTTAGTGTTCCCATTCAATCCCAATAAAAATGTTGGTTACAAACCATTAAGGTGGCCACAGGGCAGAAACATTATGCAAAAGTCAATTGATTTTACTTAGGGAGAGAAGAGAAGATCACAGATTAAATGACACAGTTATACCAGAAACTCAAATGGGGCTAGGCTTCCAGCCAATGAATCTGATTGAAGTCAGGACTTTAACTCAACAACCACTTAACAACTGGGGGGCTTGCTTGGTTGTATATGTCTGTTAACCATGACATTCACTAACAATTAACCCAACAATGAATTACAGCTCACAGCACAGAGAAATATAGCACGGAGAATATAGAGGAAGAAAATCAGTTTCTGGGGTAGCAGTGCTGAATGGACACCAAGAGACTCCTTTATTTTTTCTGATATGTGCAAAATATCTCTAGTCATCCCTGTACTTAAATTAGTATCCCATTTTGTAGTTTACTGCCTTCTACACAATACACACAAGAAATAGCATGCACAAAATCAGTGTTTTTAACTCCTCACCTGTGCATTTGGCCCAGAATTTCATTTGCCCTGAGGCAATTGCAGATGAAACTGGAAGAATTAATTGGTATGCCCTAGTGCAGTAGTTCCTAAACTTTGCTACATATTAGAATGGTATTGAATCCCAATGTGCTAGGGTGGGAGCCAGATATCTGTGATTCCAATGTGCAGCAGAGTATGGGAACAATTGTTCTAGTGCTGAGCATTTCAACATCCTGCAGTGCTGCTGGAACTTGTTTAAAATGTGCATTCCTAGATTCCTAAACCCCAGAGATCCAGATTCCTTAGGCTGTCTAGGAACATGCAATTTAAATAAGCACTCTTAATAATGTAATGATTATGGTCTGTGATCATACTTTCAGAAACACTAGGTGAATAGACTGTCACTCCTAAAACAGAACTGGGTGGGGAAAACTCTATACACTGACTAAGTGAGACTGTCTATTCATGGCATGAATTCCAGGAGGGCTGGTTCTGCCTTGAGCTTTCTCTCCTGTGGGGAGCAAGTGCACAGAGGTGAGTCAAGTTTCACTCACAGGATGACATTCTGTCTGTTCCGGCTCATCATGTGAGACTATAGAGGTAACTGACTCAGCCTCTAAAAGTTCAGCCAACAGGAAAAACTGGCACAGCTGTGAATTCCACTGTCCCCTTGATCATCTCTTTCATGGCACAGAGCAGTTGAACATTTTAGAGACCCAGAAGTCCTGGGGCTATGGAGTGGAAGGGGGCGGCAGAATGGAGACAATGACAAACCACAGAGCAGAAATGTTCTGCAAAATTCAATTGATTTTACTTAGAGAAAATCACAGATTAAATGATGCATCTATGCCAAAAAATCAAATGGGGCTAGGCTTACAGCCAATGCAGCTAAAGTCAGGACTTTAATTCAACAACCACTTGACAACTGGGTGGCTTGCTTAGTTGTATGTCTGTTAATCATGAGAGTCATTAAAAATTCCAGTGGAGTCTCATCATATTCCCTCGAGTTATAAAATAGCTCAAAGAACTTCATGTTAAGATTTTAGGACTTTAAGAAAAGGAAAGATATCTTTTTTTTTTTCTCAAAGTTTACTGTCTTCTAAACACTCTTATAAGCTACCAAGCATAGGTGGAAATCATCCATTTTAGAGGCAATAAAGCAATGTAGAGATGTAAAGAGTAGAGTCAGGTGTGGTGGCACAGGCCTGTAATCCCAGCAACTCAGGAGGCTGAAGCAGGAGGATGGTAAATTTGAGACCAGTCCCAGAAACTTAGGAAATCTTGTCTAAAAAAAATTATAAAATAAAAAGGGCTGGGATATAAATCAGTGGTAAAGTGCCTCTGGGTTTAATTGCCATAAATAAATATATAAAAGAGGAGAAATACAGTGTACCTGTAAATATATTTGTAAAATGATTAATATTATTAGACAAGATTTATGGTGTTTTTATTGAACTTGTAGACAGGGACCACACCTGTTTATGCCTGTATTCCCAGTGCTCAGTATGGTGCCTGACATATAGTATACATTCAGTAAAGTTTTGTTGAATGAGCAAATGCATGATAGATTTAACATCAGTTTTGCTAATGTTTCTTTTAGGGGAATGTATACGATTTCCTATTACCCATCTTTGTGCTTGTGGTGAGTAATTCTGAAGATAATTATTTTCTTTTCCTTATGCCTGTGCAATACTAGATAAAATGTTTTGGTCTGATACATGCACTCAACTAAGGTCATCACTTGAATTAGCAGAAGTCTGGAATTGTGCACTTGACTTGGAATGAGTGACATTTTCCAAGGCAGGTGATCGAAATAGTTAGAATTTTCCAGAACAGGTTTGTAAACAATAGACAAAATAACAGAGACTATCTTGTAGTCCCTCTGATAAATAATTGGTAACATATTAGTTCAGGGACTTTTCAGCATAATAGACATTATTTTGAATTCAGTTGTTACATTTCTTTTGTATAAGCAAAAATTTTAAAGTTTCATTTTTTCATCTGAGAAATTTAACCTGTAAAATTTCACCTATAGGTAAATCGTATTTTCCTGGCAGCATGTGTTGTGGCCTTTTTACTTGCCAGAATAAATATAATTTGACTGTCCAACTTAAAAGCAAGGAAAGTTTGGGGACTAACAGGTAAGTGGCTGGGTTCTCTAGCTCCAATCAAGGAACTGCCAGATGATCCAAAAGAAGCTGCTAATACTCATTCTCCTGGCCCTCTTATTTACTTCCTCCTGGCTAGCAGTGAGTCTATATAGGCAAGAACCTTTCCTGAAGTAAGAAGGAGAAGAGGTTGAAGGGAAACTTGGATTGCTTTAGGGTCCATTGTTTCTCAGAGTGTGATCAAGGGACCACCTATCTCAGCCCCAAGGAGTTTGTTAGAAATACCAATTCCTGGATTCCACTTGAGAATCTTTGGGGGTGGCACCTTAGGATGTACATGTTTAAAAATATTGATTTTAACAATATTGATTTTAACAATATGTAATGCACACCAAAGTTTGAGAACACATATTTTTCCTGATATGTGAGTTTATATAAGGGAGTCAACTGATGAGGATTTTTGTGCTCCCAGCATTGACTCCTCTTTTGCCACACCCTACTGGGCCCCTGGTGATGTATTTGCCAATCCTCTCTGCAGGAGCAGGTGCCCTGGCTCTGGAGTCAGGCCATCTGCCAAACATTTTCCGCCATCCCTGAACTTCCTATTCTTCCCAGAAACCTTGGCACAGGCAAAGGGCAGTCAGGGAGTGGCAGAGGCATGTGTCCAGTTGGGAGAACTTGGAATAGACTCCATGTGCAGCCTCTGAGCCAGCCTCTCTGCAGGGGAAGGAGCAGCAAGTTTGGTGAGTCAGTGTTGTCATGGGCAGAGGGTGCAGGCCCTGGAGCAGCTTGGAGGAACCTGGCTTCTGAAGTGTCTCTCCTAGCTTAGAGAGTAGTGGCTTGGAACATTTGCCCTACTCCCTAACACAAAAGCCTTGTATTCCTGTGGGCACAAGCTATGCCCTGTACCCCTTTTCAGGCTTTTGAGAAAACACTTAGGAGTTATAGCAGTAGAAGCTTTTTATAGAGGTCATTAGTGATGATCTCAAAGGGCACCTGGAAAAGCTTTGGCATCATATCATCTCCCTCAATTCTCTTCTTCCTTCAGTCAGTCTGTCTCTAATTCAAATCCTCTGACCAGGTTGCTGCCCCCAAATCCCCTTTTTATAACTCTGGAGACACTAGCCAGGTTAAAATCTTAAATCTTTCTTAATTGTCGCTACTTTGCCATTAGAAATGAGTTTTTTTTTTTCTATGAAAAGCTGAAGTCTTGCACAAGGAGTGAGAAAGAGTTTTAAACATAAGCATCCCAGGGGCTGGGGTTGTGGCTCAGTAGTAGAGTGCTTGCCTAACATGTGTGAGGCACTGGGTTTGATCCTCAGCACCACATAAAATATAAACAAATAAAATAAAATTATAAATAATTAAAATTTATAATTTTTATTTATAATTTTTAAATATTTTAAAAATAAGCATCCCAGAAAAGATTCAGTACTTCTCTAACCTAAGTGGAAGTACATTTAAATGTAGGTATTTAGGTTCTACATCCAATAGTTCTGATCCAGCAGATCTGAAGTGGGGTCCAGGAAAATGTATTTTAAATAAATAACTCTGGTTAGTCAAGATGCAGGGGTCTGTGGGTCAGAGGATTAAATCTTGAGACACATGAATTTAAATATACATCAAGGAAAAAATGTATATCAAGGAGTGAATGACTCACTTCCAGATTCCTTGGAATAGTCTGGGTTTCTGTAGTTGGGGAAAAAGAAGTATTCCAATATTCCAGGCACCCTCAAAAGAGAAAAAGCCTGGATACAAGTCTGTGCAGACATCTATCCACGTTTGAAAAGGAGTAGACCTTGTTATTATAAAAAAAAAATACACCAAAAGGAAGTGAAATTATGTCATTATCTAATTGCTGCCCTTTATCTACTTGCCCCTCAGACCAGGGCACAGCTCAGCTTTCTGAGTTCATGTCTGACTAGACCCCAGAGCTTTTCCATTGCCAGCCATCTTGGTTTCTTGAGGTGCTTTGTATATGAAGGTGACACTAAAAGGTTAAGATTTTCTTTGAGAAATGGGCCCAGTATCTGATTCCTAGCAGAATATACTCTCTTCGTTCCAAAGATGTGTCCAAACTAGAGAAATATCACCTTTATTCATCCAAGTACACTTATCAATTTGGATGGGTTAGACTTTTCTTATTTGTCTTTAGGTCTTTCTTTAAAGGTGATGTTGTTGTTTGTTTGTTTTTTTTTAATCCAGTATTGGGGGAGTTGAACCCGAGACCTTGCACAGGCTGGGTAAGTGCTCTACTACTAAGATACTACAGTTCTTTAATTTTTTTTTTTTTTAATTTGAACATAGTTTCACTAAGTTGCCAAGGCTGGCCTCAAACTTGTGATCCTCTTATCTCAGCCTCCCAAATTGCCGGGATTACAGGTGTCCATCACCTGACCAAGCCCATATGTAATTTTTTAAAAAATATTTTTTTAGTTATAGATGGACACATATATTTTATTTTATTTTTTATGTGGTGCTGAGGATCAAACTCAGTGCCTCATGCATGTGAGGCAAGCACTCAACCACTGACCCCAACCCCATATGTAATTCTTAACATATTTGATTCTTTAGATATTAAGATAAAAAATTAAGTTGTCAAATAGCATTTTTAACTTGATCATTCTGAAGCAGATTTCTACTTTAAATGTGGAGGACAGGGGGAACTAACTTTTTAAAAGTTCCTCTAGTCATACATTATGATATACCTATGCATTTGCCAGGCCATTCATCCCCACACTTAAATCCTTCATTAACTCCTTGCACCTTGTGACTTTCTTGCATCTCACTCTATATTCCAAAAAACATCATTTACACCCCTCCTTCTTTACTTCCATCTTGACTTTCACAACCTTCTGGTCAAAGTGGATCAAGAAGACTCAGGATGTCATATCCACAAATGACCAAGGTGCTATTGTTTTAGATGATTTCAGTAAAGTAACAAGAAATGCAGCACTTATAAAATGACAGACTTTGTTCTGAACACTCTGCAAATATTAAGTTATTTAATTTTCATAATTAGCCTATACGGTACTTAAGGTAGGTGCTATTATAAGTTACTATAAGCCCATTTTATAGATGAGGAAACTGAGGCACAGGTAAGTTATAGAACTCACATAAGGTCATATAGCTAGCAAGATTCCAACACTGACACTATGATCTTGGTCACTACTTATGTTGCCCATCAAAAAAGACAAAATGAGCTGGGGCTGTGGCCTCAATGGTAGAGCGCTTGCCTGGCAAACGTTGAGGGCACTCAGCACCACACAAAAAATAAAATAAAGGTATTGTGTCCACCTACAACAAAAAAATACATATTAAAAAATAAAGTATTTTGCCCATTTTAATTGTTTTTTAAAAAAGAAGACAAAACAATACAAGCCAATGCAAATATTATTCTTCATCCAAAAAATCTATTTTCAAGGACATTTCAGAAAAGAAAACTGGAGATTGCAATCTAATTTGAGACCATACTCAATGTATCAATCCTCTCATGGTTCTTATATTGTCTGTATATGCCAAGAATTATCTAATTTAATTCTCACCCTATTGAAGGCTGATTTAACAGAGCCTTTGCTAAATATTTACACGCCAAAGAGAATCATCCCTCAAACATAATTTGTTCTCAGCATACTGTATCCAGTATCCCAGATAGAATAAGTGTATCTACTTTGAAGCACAGGAGAAAACAGATCTACACTGAAACAGCCTTTCACTGCCATTTCTTAGGATCTGCTTAGATGAAAACCCACATTGCTGATTCTTGCCAGGATCTACTTATGCTTTGGGAAAAGTATTAACTAGAATTCCGGCCTGAATTTTAATTCTGGCTCTTCCACTAATCAGCTGTGCAATTCAGGACAGTTGATAATCTCTCCAAATCTGTTTTCTAGAGGTCCAAATGAATAGCTATAAAAGGAAATAAGCTATAAAGTACTGGAAAATTGTATGGTAGCATTACAGGTTTTTTTAAAAATAAATTGATGATTGTTACATTTATTTTAAAGCAGCCTCCTCCCCTCCCCCTCCCAAGTAAAGTTCTCGAGGGCAGGGCCCATGTCTCATTCATCTTTGCTTCTTAAGATTGCTATGAATGGATAATTATGATTGCAATGAATTCCACTATTGTCATGTATGTAAGAAATAAAAATAAATGAATTTTAAAAAATTGCTTCTGGTATATAATAGATAAACAATGAACGTTTCCTGAGTGAAAGAAAAAGAGATTTTCCCAGAGTTTTGGAGGACCCTATCTCAGTTGAGAAGTGCTGAGGAAGGTTAAGCCATTCACAATACCTGCTTCAACTACGTGGTCCATTGTTGGAAACCTTTTGTATACAGCTGTGCTCACAGAGCGGAAGATGAGCAGGGATGTGAGATTTACATAACGCATCAGTGTCCTTCTGAGAAGGCGTCCATGCTGGTCACTTCCGTGGACACTGCTGGAGATGAGGAACATCAGCCTGTCAGGCCAGGGCAGATTCACAAACTGGTTCCACCATCGGTTCACTACTAGAGTAACATAAAACCCTGTAGAACAAGAGGAAATAATAAAGCAATTTCTTAGCAGCAGACATATTGGTGACACTGATGCTTTTACAGAATTTTAGCCTTTTTAGGGGTTGGGAATACAAAAATATGTAGTTATCTATACCTTAAGATTTTGACCTCCAGAAAAAGATGTCACTTGTGCCTGGTAATGTCAGGCACCCAGTAAGTGGGTATTAGAACTATAATACTGATCACAAAAATGGAGAGTTAGTGAAGAGAAGGCTTACAATAGCAAATTATTACCTCAAACTTGCTTGGTGTTAATTTAGCGAAAGCAGCCCTGAAAGCAAACTTTATGGATGATTCTGGTTCTAGTGCAAGCATTGGCTTTTCAGGCATGCCTCTCAGCTTGGAAACACTCTCATGCAGAGTCATCCGTGTCATCCTAATGGAGACAGTTGTGTGGCTGCATTCTGCGTGTGACCTATACTTACCAAGCACAAAGGTTACTGGAATTTGTTCAGCATATCTGTCACAGTAAATTGATAATTTTTCAAAGTAACGTTTTTGGGCTCCTGTAAGTAACAATCTGGAGCAAAAATAAAATGCACAGCCCTTTATGATATTATACTTCTGCACCTGCTTTGCAAGTGACATTAAGTGCAAACAATTAAGCACAAATATTCTCAGTTTTTTAAGGAGCAGTAACTTTTTCCTTTTCCTTAAGCTGATATGCTCAAAAGCTTTTTAATTGCTTAATGTTTCAAGTACTAAAGTTTTTAGTACATAAACATTTTTGGCCATTAAATTGTGGTATTTATTAACCATTTTATTTTTAAAATTTTATATTTTTAAAGTTTTATATAATTGGCTGACTTGATTTGGAGCAAGGTACATTATAAAATAGCCCATCTTTCAATTATTCATCAGGAATACTTAAAAAAGAGAATATTGATTAAATGGATTAGTTATTAAATCATTATTAAGTAATAACATTTGATATCTTGACCTTACTTTCTCCTGAATATGCTACTTAGCACATTTTGGATTATATATATTGTAATTCAAGGGATCTGAAATTTGTTTATTTTAAAGCCTACAATTATTTGAAATATAAACAAAACAGATTTAGCAATCAGAGGTGAAAACTTTTATTATTACATTTAGTCAATGTCTTAACCTTGCTATTAAGGATCTGACCCAACCTGGCCAAACTCATTTTCTGGTATTGTTAACATAATTGCATCTAATAAAACCATTATTAATATTTATGCTGCAGGGAGGGGATTCAGAGTCAGAAGAAATGTCCAAAGGTAGGTTAATAATCAAAATACAGAAAGAGAAGCCACACACATGGTGAATTTGCATAAATCAGTGAATGCAGCTGTTTCAAAGGACAAAGGACCCCCAGGAAAAATCTATTATAACAACTGTCAAAGTCCCCTTTGGGTGAGTAGAACAGAAAGCAGAGGGGTTTTGAAGTAACAGTGAGAAACCAATCAGATTGCAGGTGGAACACTGATAGAAGCTGTTATTGATGAAGAAATGTTTGAGATGGGCTTGGAGTTCCTGTCCTGGCTTTAGAGGAGGTGACAGAATTACTAAAGTAAGGTGAAGCTGACAAGAGAGGCATTTACTGATTGGACAGGCCTATCAGAGTCTTACTGATGACAAGTCACAATCAGATGATTTTCCAATATGTAAGTAGAAGTGGTCAAAGAGTATTTAAATATGGAAAGTATGGATCTTAGAGTCAGACAAAACCCAGTTTTAATCCCAGGTCTGCCATTTATAGATTTGGACTTTGAACATGTTTTAAAGTTTTTGCAAGCCTCAGTTTTCTCATTTGTAAATGGGGATAATAATACTACATATCAGGGATGTCATAAGAATTAAAAAATATTATATAAATAAATAACTTTTTAACATATGGCCTCATACTTAAAATAATTTGTATTATAGCTAACTGGCCAAAGAAAAATATTTATTATAATAGTCATATAGAAAATTTAAATAGCTAGAAAATACTATAGAGATTATTTTGCCAATTTCCTCAGACAATAGGAAGTGGTAAAATCAAATCAATGAATCCTGGTTCTTCCTTATAATTTTTGTCAAGTGTAACTATTTGCTTATAACAGGATTCATAAAAAACTGAAGTCATTAGTAGACATGAGAATGAAACTATGTTTACATTTTTCTACAGATATGTTTGATTTTCTTGACAAACTCATCCTATAGTTCTTGGTAAACTTTTGATTAAGATAAAACAATCTACTTTAACAAACTTTTATAGTTGAACTTTAAAAATGAAGGATAATCATTGAACTAATGGTTAATAAATGTAAATGCTCTTTGGCCTTTGGAAAAATATATGCATACAATTTTGAGGGGAATAGGTATGCTATGGGGGAGAGGCTGAGGGCCCAAGGAACATTTCTGGTGACATTGCAACTGTTCTAAGGACTTTTCTATTCTAAGCAGCAGCAGCAGCAATAAACTCACATTAGTAAAAATAAACTAATGAGATAATTATCTTGGAACATCATTGTGTCTTCCACCATTTCATATTCTGAAGGCTTAAATGTCATAAATAAATTGTCAAAATAGTATCATGTAAAACATATCTGAAAAAATTATTAGGGGTTTTTAGTAAGACTTTCCCTCTAAAGATATTCTGCCAACATGTACATAAATATGTACACCTGCTTGGAATGGTAGTTTTGATACACAGCAAAATAGCTCTTCACATTTTACTTTTTATAATAGTCAACCAGATAAATTAATGTCCTCTTCTCCAAACGGAGTCTTATTGCTGTAAGGAAGAATGTAGATAAGAGCAATGATACACAAATTTGTCTATCTGTATGCAGAGGAAAAATAGACTGATGTATATGGAAAAGGTGGAAATACAGCCTCAAAAATCTTTAGCTTTCTCATTTCAAGTTTTAGCTTCCTCCAGAGAAGAAAGGTATACATTCAATTTTTAATTAAAAAAGACTCATAAAGCTTCCCCTTATCATTCTGATAAAATTTTATTAATGCTATAATTTTTAGTCATAAAAGCATTTCTTAGACATGACATTGTTTAAATTTTCTGTCAATATGACAGACATAGGTTGTGATGTTACAAAGAATAAATACCTCCTTTTGTGAACATAACATGCCCTGAAATCAGAAGGTATAAAGAAGATAAATTAGGGGAGGGGCTGTAGCTCACTGGCAGAGCACTTGCCTAGCATAGTGTGAGGCACTGAGTTCAATCCTTATCACCACATAAAAAAATAAATAAAATAAAGGCATGATGTCCATCTACAACTACAATGTTTTTTTAAAAGAAGATAAATTAGTGTTTAGGCCTTAATTCTTTAGTTGGGGCAGTGGTAAGATTGAAGGGCACGATCCTGGTTAAGATTTCATCTTTCCAGGCAAAAGGAAGGAAAGTTGCCTGATATGCACAATCACAGACATGTTAATTACATATGGAACTGCAGCAAGCTGTCAAATCACACCGTCAAACTATGAATGACATCATTGAGAGAAGTATACATAATTATACCTCTGTGGACTTTGCCTATTCAAAATCATCACATAGTAAGGATCTAAGTATAAATCTTCCAGTTTATGTCTATAATAATATTCTTGAAGTGCAACTAATACCACATCACATCATGACCAATTAATGTCGGGCTGGAATGGGAGCCCCTTGACCCTGACAGGTACAGTTTGTTTAACATCCTAAAAAATGGTTAGGTATTGGATTAAAATACCCTTTCCTGCAGAGAAGACAACAAAGACGTTCATGCAAAGGAAGAGGTTACATAATGCAAAAGTCAGCAGCAATTAAAGGGTTTGGATTTTTGAGACTGTATTCTTACATAATATTTGATGGCCATAAGGAGACATGCAAGGCAAAGTACCTGTACACCAAACTTATTGCTGTGTAAAGAACAGCAAAAACAATAAATTCCCTGTATAGGAGTTTGTAGATGCTGCCTCTCCACTTGAGAAGTAACCTATGAAATCCAAAAAAGGTCGCATTTGCTACTCTACTGGAGTAAGTGACAGTCATCTTGGATAGTTTTTTTCTAGAAGAGCAAGAAGACAAAAGACAAGTGAAAAGTTAAGTTTAAGATTAGGCATAAATCTGTGTATCAAAGGAAACTCAAGCCAGTAGCCAGCCAGTTATATCCTTTTTTTTTCCCCCTCCACCTTTCTCAGTTTGTACAATTTGAAACTTGGGGATAAACAACAGCTCAGAGATAGGTCTTTTAGAGGAGAAGGGGAGGAAAGGAGTCTCTGGGAAGAATAGTGTTAAAAAATTTTTAAATTGCCTTTCTAAATATTATTTTCAGACTATATAGCTATTGCTCAATAAATATGGCATATGAGATATGTTGTAAAATTACCAACATAGTTTCCTAATCCATAGGAGGATTTAGGGTATTGATATGCTAAATTAACTGACATCTTCAAAACTAGTGGCAAAACTTATTGTTTGGGCTTTATCTGGTAAAGTATGTAAAGAGCTACTTATTTCACCTTAAACTTTGTACAGGGTTGTTATGGCTGTCTTAGAAATCAGGATATATTTTTGAAAAGAAGCAAGGCCCTCATGGGAACTTAATTGATGGGTCACTTTTGGTGGCTTTATTTGCAAGTCAGTATCTCTCTGGTGGTGTTTTCAGTGCATAGCACTCTGCTTACTTCAAAGGTAGCCCAAAGAATGCATTTTTGGGCTGAGGTTGTGGCTCAGCGGTAGAGCGCTCACTTTGCACACGTGAGGCACTCGATCCTCAGTACCACATAACGATAAAGTAAAGGTTATTGTGTCCACCTACAATTAAAAAACAAATTTAAAAAAAAAGAGAATGCATTTTCCCCATGAAAATTCTCACAAAATGCTTAGGGATGGTTGAATTTCTGTTTGGAGCTGAAAAAAATGAGGCTATTATGGAATTCTTTCTACCTGGATCTGTTGCATGGATGTGGACTGGATGAAAATGGGGCTCCAAAGCCTAGTTTTCAGCGAGTTCTTTGGCATTCAATCACTTATCACTGAGCTGTTAAATATTTAGGGTTTGAGATAGATGGTCAAAAGCTAATCTTTGAAAATCCTGCTCAACTACTGGCTAAATGGATACCCTGCAGATAAAATGAAATTTCTCTAAAATCTTGGCTTTCTTAGGAGAATCTATGAAGAGAGTGTTACAGAGCTTCTTACACTGACATCATAGAGCAATCAGGTAGAAGTATAGTAGACGCACACACACACACATACACACACACACAAATTCTGTAATAGTTTATCATATAAAGCAACTTGCATTGTATATTTCAACATAAACAAGGAAATTTTGTCTTTATCTTGACGAGGGAAAACAACTCTAATTCACCCATTTTCTCTATAAATGACACAGCACTTTAAAAAAATTACAAATATTTCCAACATTACTGATTTTAATAAAGAAACCAGGGTCTAAATATGTGGCATTATGAAAGGATAGGACTCATGCCACAAAACTGGTTTCATTTTTCCATCTCTGCCTTGTCTATTTGTATAAAGTGAACACAGCCAACATTGAGAAAGGAGCATAAAAAACATTAAGCTCATTTCATAATTTGTTCTCATAGCTATGGTAGTTTTAAATGTTTCTTTCATTTAATAGTTCAGCTTTCTATTTAGGCTCTAAGATCACACAGAGTAGAGACCAGAGTTAAAATGCATAGGTTGATCTGTGCACTAACCTATTTATTTGGAGTCTCCAACAGGAAAGAAAATCTTCAAATTTCAGGCTCCGCCTGAAGCGATGCCTTCAGGTTGGTGCTGCACTCTTGGTTTTACCCTTCGCTCATGGACAGTAAGATTTTCTTTCTGTTTTCTGGCTACTGAGAGGATCCAGAGTGTAACAAGCAGAAGGGTTAAATGTCTTTCCACTTGTGGAGGCCTGTTTATGCCAGTTTGTCCACTGATGACAGTGATAGCTGGAACAAACAGAAGTGACAGCTGCTGATGGTGCTTTTTTTCTATCTATAATTATAACTCCACCTGCCGCCCAAAATACTCCTTTGAATGAGAAGTCTGGGGTGATGTGAAGGATGTTGGGTTTTTTAAGTCTGTTAGATTCACTTCAACTCCATCCTGGGATCAAGGAAGAAAGGTTCATTTTCCCCCAAAGTGTTCTGAAGAGATTCTACCAACCAAAAGGGGAATTAGAACGGTCTTTTTGTACTTGAAATGAAGAATACATTCTTATGTAGCCATTAACTGGGGAAAACAAGAATATAAACAGGATTTTCATTAATTTGAGAGGTATTGAGAATGTTCCTCCATAAAAAGCAATAAGTATATGAGAGAAAGAGAAAGAGAGAGAGAGAGAGAGAGAGAATAAGAGAATGTGTCTGTGTCTTGAAAGACCATAGAGAATTATGATATGTGATGGCTTAGTGTAATGGAAACGAGTAACACACTGATTCATTATGCTTATTATCTTTCCATGGTTAGCCAGGAAAATTTTAAATTATTCAAAATGTTTTCTACTAGATTGATTATACATGCCTATCTTCCTTCTTTTCTTTTCTTTTTTTGGTACCAGAGATTGAACTCAGGGATGTTTAATCACTGAGCCATATCCCCAGCCCCTTTTTGTATTTTATTTAGAGTCAGAGTCTCACTGAGTTGCTTATTGCCTCGCTAAGTTGCTGAGGCTGGCTTTGAACTCTCAATCTTCCTGCCTCAGCCTCCCAAGCTACTGGGATTACAGGCCCAGCCTCTATTTTCCTTCTTAAAAGAGACAGTTCAGCAGCATTCTTTAAATAATAGATTAATTAATTTTAGGGCCAATTCCTGAGACCTTTTCAACTTTCTAAAGTAGTGTGTACCAATCATTGTACATAAGTGAAAAGAAAATGACTTTAAAATAACATCTATTGTCATGGAGAAAGATTTGGAATAAAATGTTGGTTTTAAAGTCAAGAATACATATAATTATTTTTCTATTACTAAGTTTTATATGCATTTGGCTGGTTTCTTTGTTAAACTGAAGTACATTAGATCAATGACAGAGTAAGTAGGGGTCTGATTTCTTGCCCCATCTCTGTTTATGGTTTCACTATGAGGCCTATAAATAATGGATATTCAATATGTATTTGCTATTTATCATCACATCCTCACTATATTCCTTCTGTTAGTACATTTGGGAGAATTTTTGAAAGTATATACACAGTGCTGCACATCCTCTATTTGGGTTGCCATGAAAAGTATGGATCTGGATGGATCTGATGTTACATTTACAAAGGCTTTTAAGACTGATCAATATTGGGGACTTTGAGCAAATGTAAGCTTCAGTGATTACAAAATAGCTGGAAGTATTTTGTAAAATTCCAATTCCAATGTTGGAAGTATTCTGTAAGATATTTCCTTCTCCTGCATCCCCTATTGGATGTGTGGTAGCCCCGAAACGCCTCCTCTGTGGGGCGCCATAAGCCACTGTAGTCAATCTCATTTTTAAACGAACATAATTAGGTTCATTTCTACTATCAGGTTGTTTTTCTGGAATGACTAATTAATGGTTGAAAAGAGCATTCTGAATGCAAATTAGTCAATAATAATTAAACGGAATGGACAAACTCCCATTGTTTAGCTTTTACTCTTGTGGCTATTTCTAACAGATATGGAATTATGCCATTTAAAAATTAACTCCTTAGAGGAGGCAAGCCACTATAGATCTTTTCAAAATATCTAACAACACATCAAATTGTAGTTTATTTTATGTAACTTTTGAAGAAAACTTTAAACTTTTTTATTTAAAATGAACTTTTCTTCAAGATTCTAAATGTAACCTCATTATAAAAAGTAAAAAGTAAAGAAACATATAAGAAAAACAGAATGATACTCTCTCATGCCACTATAGAGGGGTGTTATCATTTTGCCTAAGGTTCATCCTTCTAGATTTTTGTGGAAAATATTTTATCTCTATAGTTAACAGCAAATGACATGATAAACCCTGAGGCAATCTCAAAGCTCTGTGGAATAACGATACCAAGATTTTCTCTTGACAGCAAGCATCAGGTTATGTGATCTCTTGGGTTTTTCTGTTTACTGACTGCCATGATGTGTATTTTTTTTTAACAACCACATCACAAGCAGCTAGTTGGGATAAGTCATGTGGGACCCCAGGTGTATGGAGGTTTCTGATACATGTTGTTGGATATAGAATTCTGCCCCATATCAAACCAAACAGGGTAGAACACCTCTGCAATTAATATTCTCTCTTTGATTTCAGGGGAGAAATAGCAAACCCCTAGGACTAGAGGAATTATTGAGTTTTATAGCTTCAGCTCTAAACCCATAAGAGACTGCATATTTGAGGAGTCATCATTGCTTTTCTTGCATAGAGTAACTGCCAACTCAACAAAACAGCAATGCATTAGTTCAAATTCTGAAGGTTATGTTTTTCTAATGGAAGCTATGGAAACTTTGTTCTATTTTAGTGATAAAAGCTTAGAGCCTAGAGAGTTATTACTAGCTGAAAGTGTATCCTGCACTCTATAATCAATGACATTTCTTAAATGGATGGTACTGCTTGGCTCAAATACATTCCAAATTGCTGAAGAAAAAATATTACAACATAGAACAGATTACATATAAATTCAAGTTCACAGAAGAAGCTTGTAAACTAAATACATTGTGTAAAATAGCTGTGAAATTCTACTTTGCCACCAACGGTAGATGGTGATAGAAATTATATCATTGTGTGGGTAAAGGGAAGACATAGGTACATAAAATTTTTATGCGTAAACATGGATGTCTTTACATGTTTTCTTATGCAGTGAAATGCATGTGAAAATGAAGAAAACACTTATTGACTCTAGTTCTCTAATATGATAGATTGAACATTCTTCAGACAACTTTTTAGGTTCATAACACATAATAGCTCCTTAAGAGTGATACTGATGGACAGAGCAGTGGGTTTGGAGTAAGGGAATGAAAGAGAAACTTCAGTTTTTGCTTCACATAATTTTATATTATTAAAATAATATATTTGCATATTTAATAATATGAAATATTTTTTTTATTTTA